AGGATCTGTTTGGTATGTGGCTGGAATTGGAATTAAATTTCCTTGGAACCAGATTTGATAAAAAAGGGTTTGGGGTTTTTTGAAGTCACTTGTCCTTTTTTTTTTGGCCGGATGAAATGAGATTTCCATTCACAAGGGAAATGGCCATTCCCTCAAATTTCTATACCACTGCCAGAATTGAGAATCAAAATCACTTTCTGTCCAACCAAACGGCCCCTATTCATGTCAAACAAATGGACCCTGATTTGAGAATTATAAAGAAGTCTTTGTCCCATTGTACAAGCAAAATAAAACCGCATTACCATCCAAAAAAGAAAATGGCAGACATCCTTGTACAGTAGAAGCAACTGGTTGCTTACCAAATTGGAATCAAATAAGTAGCATTTAATGGGGTTCCTACTCAATGAATGGTCCACAACGCTATTGAATCTTAGGATCTTTGGTCTGGCACTGGCAGTATAACCTAAATTTTGGGCCTAACCAGAGGTCGATTGAATTGTTAATCGATATTAATAATCAATACATGTTTCAAATGGTACACTCCTTTCTAACCATATTATTGGAAAAACGTCTCGTCGATAGGACGTTTCAGAAAGTTCAAAGATTATTCTTATTGATATATGGTTCGTGTTTACTATATATATTTTCACTTTAGCTAGTAAGTTCAATGATTATTCTTAATGATATGGTTCGTGTCTACCATATATATTTTCACTTAACTAGTATCATCTGATATTCAAGACATTAGCAAAAAGGTTAATGCCCCGTTTGGTTCGCAGGAATAGGGGTTTAGAATGAGATTCAGAATGAATTATTTTGATTTCAGTTATTTGGTTGGATAGAATTAAGACTGCAATTTGGGCCGGATTGGCCCGAATTTAACCCGAAAAAGTTAGGTTGGGTTGGGTCTAGTTGATGTTCGGGTTAGAGTTAGGGTTGAAATTCATGAACCCGACCTTACTTCGGGTTGGGTTAGGGTTGACCCCTTAAGCAACCCAACTCTATAGTACATGTCATATATAAATATATGTTATATGTAATATATAACATACATTGATTTGCTTAGATGCATGATATTTGTATACCCCCCACCACATAGTTTCATGCATTTCTTTTAAGATAATCACTTCACATAATCCTAATCAGAAAGATTAAAACCTTAATAACATTATTTTATGTTTTTTGAAAATTTTATTCTTCATCTCCTCTATGTTGTTTGCCACCCAATAAATATCTATCGTAAGCCATATAACTCATAATAAACTATAGTCATTTCTAACACATGTTTTTTCTGAATTTTGTACCAAAAAAAAAAAAAACATCAACAAACAAATAATAATGAAATAGAGGATTAATATATATAGTGAAAGCTGAGTTAAAATCTAAAATCAAGAAATTCTATGAGGTTTTAAGGGATGGAAAGAAGGCTAGGTTGGGCCCAACCCAACCCAAAATTGACTTTGGGTTGGGTTGGGTTGGGTTAGAGTTGAAGAAATTTAGTTAGAGTTAGGGTTAGGGTTGGACTAATCGGGTTGAAGGTCAGATTGGGTTAGGATTAGGGTTGGGATTTAGAACTTAGGGTTGAGCTAGGGTTGGCCTCAACCCGACCTAACCCAGCTCAACTTACAGTCCTAAATAAAATTGGAATCCTATTTTTATTTCTACTGAAATAACATTCCCCATTTGAGGAAATGGCCATTCTCTGCCTTTTCTCTTGAGAATAAAATAACTCCTAACTTCTATTCTTTTGTTTGTGTCCCGATTAGATAGGCAAATTGGATATTTGGATTATTACAAACAAATTTCTAAGACAATGCCAATACATTTTTTTTGATTGTTCACAAGCGTGGTTATATATCTCCATGAATTACAACATAGCTTCAAGATCTTGTGACCGGTCTTATGGTCAGTATATTTCACAAGGGTATAGGGCAACACTTAGATAAACATATTGAATAAGTATTCAATCAACTTCTAACGTGTTTTCCGCAAATATCCTCAGCATGTGGGCACTGGGTAGCAAATTGAGTTGCTTGAATCGTGGTTTTTAAAATTGATTCGGAGACCGAACCAATCAGGGGTCTGTTATCGGGCTGACCATTCGATCTGTTCTAATAAAAAAATAAAAAATAAAAAAAATGAAAACCGGTCAAAATTGTTCGAACGGTTTGAACGATTAATTGTCCGGGTCAGCGATTTGTTGACCAAAATCAACGATTTTTATGGAAAATTCAATTTTGGGGATAACCAGAACCGGTCACCTGACTAGTTCCTGATTTTTCCGGTCTGACCATCCGGTCTGGTCTAGTTTTCAAAATCATGGCTTCAATTCAAGAGCTTAGCCACATAAAGCTTTTGATTAGGATTTGTGATCATTACAAAATTTAATAGCCCTGGGGTGGTCACCAAGGTTTTTAAAACCGACCCGAAGAACGAACCGGTCAGGGGTCCAGTTCTTGGGTCAAACGGTCGACCCGTTCTGACAAAAAAATAAAAAAAATGGTCAAAATGGTTCAAATGGTTAACTGCCCGGGTCAACGGTTTTCTGAACAAAATCAACAGTTTTTGGGGAAAAATGAAATTGGTCATTGTGGTTTTTCCGATCCGGCCCGGTTTTGAAAACCATGATGGTCACAGTTGGGTTAACCGAATTATGGACTATTTTCTAAAATTGAATCGATTAATCAATTCATTCATTTGGTATTTCGGTTTATATGTATATATATATATAGGTCAATTGATTTTTAACAAGATTAATTTTTTTTTTTTGTGATTAAAGTTCAGTTTGGAAAAAGTATAAACACAAATTTATACAAAATAATACAAAATACAAGATTTTATATTTATATATTTATATTTTTAGTTCTTCCAAACTGAGCCTAATGGATTTTACCTGCGGCTTCAAGAAAATAAAAAATAGTTCAATTAATCACCAATTTTTCTTTTAGACTCAGTTCGATTAACTGGAATTTTCGATTCAATTATTGGTTTTTTTAGCACCCCTACGTTAACCCAGCCCAGTTTCACTTATACCAGCAAACTTTTGAAATAACTTCAAACAAAATTTTAAAACGTCAGAAATATTAATGGGGTGACTTGTCTCAGCCTTTTAAAGTAATAAATGCTTTAAGTTGGCATTGAAAAAGGCACTCATGCAAATTCATCCTAACCTATAGAGTATAGACTAACCATTCAACATTCACACTCAAATTTCAAGGGGCTATCAAGGCCATGATCTGGAAGGATCATCATTCCAGTTTTTTCTTCGTCTACTTACAAGCATGCAATAGGGTTGACCAATAATTTTTAATTAATTATTAATGTTTAAGTAATTATTGATTTTAATAATTAATTTTTAAAAATTTCTGAAATTAAATTATCAAAATCAGTAATTTTCAATAAGTAATTTTTTAATTTATCAAAATTAGAAAATATTATAGTTTAGGTGTTGAAATTTACTAAATAATATTAATAATATTAATAATTAGAAAATATTAGTTTAACTACCCAAATTAATTTAACCATGTTTTTTATTTTTAAATGATTTATTGAGCATATAATATTAGATTAAGAGGTGTTTTAGGAGAAATTTTAGGTTGAAAAGATAGTTTAAGAGCTTTTAGGAGGGAGGGATTGGTTAAGTGATTGAAAACATGATCTCACAATGCAAGGCTGTGCTCACATTGTTCACAGGCCCTTGCAACCTTGCATTGACAATATCTCCCCATGAAAAAAAACATACAAGTATAGAGATATTTTCAATTCACGGCTGTAAAGGTTGTGGGAACAGTGTGAACATGGTATTGTAATCACTGAAGCTAATCTCGAGTTGGGGTGGGATTCTAGTGAAGAAGAGAAATAATTTAAGGCCCCGTTTGCATTTCCGTAAGTTAGCTATCCAAGTAGTTGTTTCCTGAGAAATATTTATCCGAGTAAGTGCATTTACCCATGTTCTTTTATCTTTTATGTAAATAATGCAATGACCATTTTATTCATAAAAATCCATTATTATAAGGGGCATTTTTGTCTCTTTCAAGTGTTGGCAACTTTTCCCCAAGGTGGGAAAATTATTTATCCACCTATGAGTACCTAGGAAAATAAACTTTCCCTGGTCCTCACATAAATCTGAAAAAAGAACATGAAATTTTTTATCAATGAGAATTAAAATCGCAGTGAACAACTTTCCCCCTCTCAAAATCCAAAAAATGAATACCCCCTAAGAGAAATTTTAAAAAAGTATTAATAAATAAATGAGAGAAAGAGAAAGAATTGGAAGTGGAAGAAGAGAGGTAATTTAGAAGGACAAGGACACGATTGACAAAGTGATCGGAAATGTGAGATAGAGAGAGAATTGGAGTGGGATTATTCTAGACAGGCACTCTTATAAGTTCACTCCAACCTACAGACTAACGTTCAACGACCAATTTAAAGGGCCCATGCTGAAAGGATCGCCATTCCAGTTTTTTCTTCGTCTACTCACAAGCATTGCAAGGAGCCTGACCGTTTGGCTTAGGCTGAGTTTCAAATTTTAAATAGTGGGACCCATCACAGAGCGGGCTCTATTTCCCACGTAAACAATACAATAGGTCCAGATATCAGGTGTTTGGTAGAGCCCACTGTTGGTAGGGTGGCCATAGGCCCTCCTTCGATCCTCAATATGTTAGATATTATGTTGGAATATTCATCGGTCATGTGAATGGAAGATTATTTTATAGTTATCCCTCTACAATACTTTGATCCTCAGTACTATTATTATATCTATGCAATATTTTCACACATCATCGTTCATTTTAAATTATTATTTATTTATTTATTATATAAATAAATTTATTTGATTATTTATTTGAAAATGGTTTTATACATGAAATATCAATGTTAATGGATTATTCTAGATTCAAATTCCAGTTCTAGATAACTGGAAAGGTCAATTAACCTCCAAATTTCTTCCCCATCCATATTTGACAGTTATGTTTTGTTTTTTGTCCGAGAGAGATGAGTGTCGACTACTCTTTTTCTCTTTGTATGCAGGTTAGGTACGCCAATATCTCAGCGTCCACCTCTGCATCTACTCGGTGCTTCACCCACGACCATTATAAAAGCACCATACCATACCAATACCGTGGAGAGGAATGGATGTCCACAAAGAGCAAGAGGAGGAGCAGGAGAAAATGAGCAAACCCCTGCAGAAAACCCTCATCTTCCTAAACTTTACCCTGTTGGCCCTCGGCTTCTGCGGTGGTCCGCTCCTCCTTCGACAATACTTCGTCRAAGGCGGCAGACGGATTTGGTTATCTAGCTGGTTGGAGACCGGTGGCTGGCCCTTGTTTCTATTCCCTCTCTTYGTTTTCTACTTGCAGCGCCGCCGCAGAAAGGGAAATCAAGAAGCCAGACTCCTCTCCATGAAACCTCTCCTSTTTGTGGCATCTGCCTTTCTCGGCATCCTTACCGGAATGATTGACTACTGCTACGCCTACGGCATGTCCCGTCTGCCTGCATCCACCACTGCTYTGATAGGTTCTACCCAACTGGCCTTCAACGCTGTTTTCTCTTTTATTATAGTTAGGCAAAGGTTTACATCTTATTCCATCAACGCCGTGGTTTTGTTGACCATCGGAGCCATAGTTCTGGGTCTTCATGCGAGCAAGGACCGGCCGGAGAAGGAGTCCAGCCATCAGTACTACGTGGGTCTGTTTATGACGTTGGGAGARGCTGCATTGTATGGTTTTCTGCTGCCCWTGGTGGAGCTGACCTACAAGAAAGCCAAACAGGCCATAACTTATCCTCTGGTTATGGAGATACAGATGGTGATGTCCATCTTTGCCACTTTGTTCTGCACTGTGGGAATGATAGTGAACAAAGACTTTCAGGTACTACTCCAAGTCTCAAGACTTTTAAATGCTTGAAGACTTGGTATTTTATTAATTCCCAACAAAATGAAAATTTCCAAAATTTTGGATATTTCATTGAAATTTCACTTCATTTTCTCTATTTAAATAAATCCATTTTATATGTTTTTTCTTTTAAAATTTGGATAACTTGGTTTTTATAAAAGTTAAGAGTTTTTGTTTAAACATTTTTGAGCCTGATATATCCAATAGGAAATTTTCATGAGATTTGTGAGGTTTTGCAAAATATTAAAAACCAATAAAGAGAAATAATTAATGGGGGATTAAACATGGAAAATAAGCATTAATGCTAATTTCTTCTCATTAATTATGTGTTATATGTCAAATAGTTGATAGATTTATACCTAACTCAAACCCTAAAAAAAATTATTGTTTTATTTGCCCATTTGTGTTGTAGGCCATCTCAAGGGAGGCGAGAGAATATGAGCTTGGGGCAGTGAAGTATTACGTGGTGCTTGTTTGGTGTGCAATCTTTTGGCAATTCTATTACTTGGGAGCTATTGGGGTTGTCTTCGTCGCTTCATCACTGGTGGGTGGTATAACAAGTGCTGTGTTGCTTCCGGTGTTGGAGATCTTAGCCGTTGTTTTATTTCGGGAGAAGTTCACAGCTGAGAAAGGAATAGCTCTCGTACTTTCTCTTTGGGGTTTCACATCATACTTTTATGGACAGTACAAGAGAAAGAAGAAAATGAGTCAAACTCCACAACCAGATTCCAACGTACAAATACCATAATCCTGCTTTTATAATACCCAAATATATATATATAAGTGGTGTCAAGTTTAATCTCAGAGCATGCAAAGTGGGATGCTTTGATTCCTTTGGCTTTTCTTAGAGGATTTTATGTATGCTATTTTCTTTTTCTTCCTTTTGTATTTTAATAATGGAATCGGGTGGGGATACCATGGAGAGAGGAGAAATTGGGAGACTTGTTTTAACTTTTAAGCTTCAAAAGATAAACAGAGATTAGAGGGTTCTTAGCATATTTTCTGCCATGTGTGGATTTGTGGAGAGATAAGGAAAGGGACCTTCTAGATTGTTGATCTATTCGGTTATATAGTCCATTATCCATAATAATCTTGTACTCCAATCTCAATTTCTTAATTATTAGTAATTTTTACAAGCAATATTATCTTGTTTAATGTTCTAGTGCACTCCAAAAGTGGAGCTGATTCTGACCACATTTCAAGGGATTCTGGATTCAAATTCGACCCCAAATAGGAGACTATCATGCAAGGGAGATTAATGTGAATAACCATTTTTGGGGCCCAAAACAATTTATTGTGTAGAATATTCTTTAATTTGGATGCTTTTCATTGATGATCTAATTGGCAGACCTGGTTCCTATGCGTGTTCATATTGCTATAAATAGTCTGGGAATATCTCTGTGAAGGATTCTAGACTTTTGTTTGGAAGTAAAATAGTTCAATCTCTTCGTTGTTTTTAATTGCAAAATAAATAATGATGGCAGAAACGGCATTTTACTTGTTAATTTTACCCTTTTTTTTCTGATAATTTTTCATCGGTGGTACGTTGAAAGAGACATAAAACAACCCTCTTTCATTGGGGGTGTGCACATCTTTCTCACAATTAAATTCTATAAATTAATTCTATACTTAAATGAATTGGCGTGGACTTGCATCTCATCACATTTGAAGTGCTAATTTTTATGATAAATTTAATTGTTATTGTTTTTCAATTTTTTATAATTTCAATTAATATTTATATACTTACTTAATAAGGTTAAGAATTTTTAGCCAAGTTGATTAAGGAATGTTAATAAATGGAGATTTTACAGTAATGTTAATAACTGGAGATTTTACAGTTCAAAATTCACCTGGAAACCCCACTTGTACCAGCTGCTACATCATGTCAAATTATTTAAATATTATCAACGTTCATGCATATAAATCTGAAATTATACTTCTAAACAAAATAAAAGAAATTCTAATTATTAAGTGATAATGAGACTGAGTCAAAACATACCCATATTCATCTTTGTAAATACAGATCGTATATGCACCCAATGGATCGAGTAACTACATAGAAGTCATCTTAGAAGACTATATTTTATACATATTTATAGACATGCAATATAATTAAATGGCTCATCTTTTTCGTTTATATATCATGTAAGAGCCAATTCTGATGACGTTCGGTAGTGTGTAAATATTGTCCTGTCCGCGGTAAGATATGGTATTATGCTATATGTAGACGGTTCCTGTCCACAAAATAGCAAGAATAGGGATAGATCACATCCCAATTTATCGTCTACATTATTTTCTCGTGGATGGTCTATACTATGGTGTGAATAATTTGTGGGAAGGTTTCAGTGTATCGCACCTGCGTTACATCGATCTAATTACTCTCGTTTTGTTTACTCTCAAYTCTTTTTATTATTTAAATATTATTTTTCTAATATTTTATCAATAAAATAATATYTAAAAATATTAATTTTTTCTTTTGTAGTTATTTAAAAAATGTCATTGTTGTCTRGATATTGATATTTTTTTCAATTTATTTACCATATAAAATGCAAAAATTAGACATTTGTAATCAACTATATAGATTTCCCATAAAATGTATATGAGATACATGGAATCAAAAAGTGTGGTGTGGMTTGGTCTACACCAACCACTTCTCGTGGATGGTCCTCAAAAATCTTTTCTGCAATCCCCTCCTAATCTACTAATATC